GAGAGCGCTCACCCCCAGGGGGAGCCTGGACTCCTGCCCACTGGGGAGACAGCGACCCCTGCCTGCTGCGGGCAAACTGCTCGGACAGGAAGAAAGAAGAGTCGGGCGGTTAAGCAACTGAAACAGGAAAGAACGTGAGGTTAGGAGCTGCGGGGGCCAGGGCGAAGAGGAAGCGGGCCAGGAGTGCGTGTCACCTACCCAGCTAAATCTGCTGAGGGACAGTCCTCTCCCCTGTGTGTGGAAGAGAAAGAAAGAATGACACGGTGATCGGTGAGGGGATGCGTCCTTCTAACAAACAAGAACCACAGCAAAGACAGTCCTGAGCTGGTCTGCACGTCCCATGGGCGCCACCTCTGGGGGTTGGCGTGGCCAGCTGCAGCCCCCCGGGTCTGCATGGTCAGGGTCCAGGGGAGTGTGCCGGGGCCACTGCACTGTCTGTACATGGCCCAGGGGACACCCAGCGGGTCTGCGCCACCGATCCCCCCCACCACCGGTGCTGCTGGGGGTCACAGTCCTGGGTGGACACGGAGCTATTGTCCAGCCCTGGAGACTTCAGGGAAGGCTCATAAGTAAAGAGATGAACGAGATACTCCGCGGTCTCACCTTTCCTTGTGACGGCGGTGGTGTGCGTGGGGTCACCTACGGAGGAAAGGCAGAGAAGGTCACTGCCAACGTCGCTCCCCAGAGCCCTGACTCACGTCCTGCCAGCCCCGTTGTCGCCTTCCGTCTTCCGACAAGCTCTTATCTACTGACACCACCTGCTCTCTGCCCGGTGCCCCGTGTCTGTGCCCATGCAAATTCAGGACCTGAGTGCCCGTGACTATTGGAGGCCACGCAGAAAACCCAGTCCCAGTGCTCGCTGCAGCACACACACGTGGCCTTCGCCGTGCTGCGTGCACATGTGTCTGTGCCGTGGCCCTCTCAGGCCGTTTGCTCGGGCATTCCAAACTCCTATGGGCACGCCTCCAGGTCTGCGGCTTCTACAACGCGCTACCACCAGCAAAATAGTGTCTAAACACACCCTGCACCGGCCTGTGTAATTAGAAGCCCGCGGTTTTGCACTTGTTTCTAATAGGTTTTATTTTATAGGGCAGTTTCTGGTTTACAGAAAAATGGTGCAGGAATTAGTTTCCAGACACCCAGCACAGTTTCACCTCTCATGAAGGCACTTTAAAAAGTCCGCAGGAAAACGGAATTGAAGCACGAGTTTATTTGATGCAGGACGAATGCTCAGACCGTGCTTGGTTTTCCAGTTTGTATTATCCATGGACTGTGTGAAGACCCCTGGTGTTTACCCCCGGCACTGGAGTAGCTCCTCTGCCGGGACCGAGGAACACAGAGTGACACGTTATTGTTGCCAGCTGAAGCTGCGGTTCGTGTTAGGATTCACTGTGATGTGTGTCTGAGTGGACACAGGTGGACAGTGAGTGTCCTGACCCACCACGGCAGGACGAGCCGTTCCCGGC